ATTAGGAGCCCCAAGCTTTGAGACTGAATTGATTGTCTGGAAATCCATGTCTGAAGAAGTGGGGGAATGTTTAAATCGGTGTGTAACTGAAGGTCTACCATCTTGTCCCTTTGAAACCAACTCACTTCCTTTATTTATGCTCCTCCTTTCCTTTAATTTCTTTCTTAAACTGTAATGAAAGGCAGGTGGCAATTGCACTGTTTTTAAATCTCAATTTTAGAGAGGTTTAATCGCCTTTTATTACACGTGCCTGCGTTTGAAAACGTCAAACGTGGGTTTAAAGCTTGCCCCACCCTAATAAGTGTTTGAATTCATTGATCTACAATATTTACATTTCCTCGTCTGCTCTAAACCTTCACCATTTAAACAGTTTAAGCTTAGCTCTTTTCCAGGGTTAGGGCTAGGCTCTACTCTCCCGGTATTGAAATAACCATTGGCCGCTGACGTTTGGACATGAAGCTTCCTACTCTCCAAATACACGGGAAAGAGGCTGATTGTTATTCAAGCAAAATTGGCTGGAAGGAAAGTTGCAGCGATCTTTACACCACGCAGCCTAATGCATCGCTGGAAAAGGCCCTGCCGATCTCCAGCGGCAGCTTGTATCCGAGTGTCACGCTGCGTGCTCAGGCTCGGCCGGTATTGCTGCTATGCGCGGAAATATGAGCGAGTAATTTTATAAGTAACAAAGGATCAGGGATGGAATGAGGCCCCTGTTATCCAATGTCATTTAGAAGCCTTGGATCAGCAGCTTCTTGAGGCTAAAAGTGAATTCAAGAAGCCCTGCCTTTCCCTTTTCCCAGGGGTGCCAGCTAAATTTAGAAGTAACCTCTGTGTGTTTGCACAAATCGTGTACCATTTGCTGTTTGTGTAAAAACCGATTAGCCAGACACAACTGTGAAACAACTTGTGACTTTTATAGCTGCAACACGCAAACTAATTTAGATCCGTTTAGTTTTCCTTGTAAAAAGAGATTAGAAGGGAACCGCCCGAAGTGAAGCTCTCCTCGCTGAAGGTTACAGTCGCTCCTCCAGCAGTGCTTATTATCAGGTTCTTGTTTATCAAGTTAAAAACTCGCACCCCAGCAGCCTGTTTTATTTTAGGACTCGGGCTGCCGACGGGAATGTTTACTCGGGACACACTAACATTGACCGTTCATCGGGAAAACAGACTCAGTATTGGTGAGGAAGTGTCTTTCAGAGCGACCCCCAAGCCCACACCGGCCGCCGAGAATAAGGCTCGGATACCCGGTGGCAAGCGAGGAGTGGACGCGGCTCCTGACACAGCCTGGGTTTTACCGACAAGACGCTCCCTGGGTGGAGTTCACATCGCTGCTACGTACAGTTCCGGAGTTAAAAACTGATTTCGCATAAGTAATTGTTAACAGCTAAATTAATTACAAAATAATTAGAATTGATGTTGTTTGAGGATATGCTGGTGGTGGCCCAGCCGGCCTCCTACGTCTAGACGTTCGTCCCTACTTCATCACCTTTAGGAAAAGAAATACACACGATGAAACAGCTGGAACGCATACCTAAAATAATCTCCAGGACAATTCCCACTCCTACCTTGTAGATCTCTCCAAAACCCTAACCTGGCTAAGGTAGGGAAAGGGGGGGGGGGTGTAAAGTGCACCTGTTTTTAGAAGGGTGTTTATTTTTATGATTTCTTGGCCTTTGGAAAGGCTCGGGGTTGGGAGGAGGGGCTGCCGCTTCCGGAATCCTTCAGAAATTGATTATTGTCAGGGAAAGCGGGATCTTGAAAAAAATTTTTCCTGAAAAATATTTGCCTATTATCTTAATGCAAATAATGCCATGCCAAAATACCACCATGCGAATTTAAAAATCAATGGGATTTGGCACTTCCACTTCAGGGATGAAAAGGAATTCCAAAAATCCAAGGTTTAAAATGCTAAAATACCGGATGTTTGGAATTTTGCTCTTGAAAGCACAATTAAAATGACCAAAAAACGAGCAGCAATGCTGTTGTCTGGGTTTTTAATGACAGCTTCCTTCTCAGGAGCAGCTAGTCATACAATACCTTGGTATGAGTGAGATCGTCATCTTTATTCTGGCTTTATGTGAAAACTAACGGAGACATAATAATATAATCTAAATTAGATATACTCTTTCCATTTTCAAATTCAAATGTTTCTTCACCCAAATTATTAATTTGCAACGTTTGAAAGGTCATTGGTTGAGACTACTAGATTTTCTGGGGGGACAATGCAAATTTTATTTTAAAATCTTGCCACTTGCTAGACACCTAAATAAAACACTAGGCTGAACATTTTAAAAATTTATTTACAAAGCTGTGTACAACACGATGGAATAACATTTAGAATACCATATATATTCATTCATATATAAACAGACTTTTATAATACAATGACACTTCGCCTTTTTGAAAAATTGTTTTTTGTATTTAAAATCTCCCAACGTCTCTATACATTCTTTTTCTCAGATAAAACTGCGGAGAGTGAACCTTCAAAAAAATGAAAGTTCAGAGCTCTAAATCTACTGAATCTTTTCTTAAAAAAATAAAAACCCCAAAAGGAAAGTCAACGATTTTTATACAAATATGTACAAAGAATTTCCCTCCCACCTCCACAGTAGTGAGAGCAGGCGCCGTCGGGGTGTATTTTTTGGAAATTCAGTTATCAGTTTTACCTGTACGGAAAGCTATCCCCAGCGGACGCGTGTTGAGTTTGCTCGGCCAGCTTGGGTTGAACCAGGGGACGGAGGCCGCTGTTGGTCGGTGTTGGGGAGTCGGGGGCGGGTAGTAGAGTCCATGATTGGGGTAGAGGGACCAAGGCCAGGGCAGAAGGACCAGGATCAGAGCGGGCGCACAGCCTGAAGGCGCAGGCTCTGCCGGAGGCCGCCCCCCGGCCGGGCCACCACCGGCTCATCACTATTGCGCGGGCCACTTGGCTTGAACGGCGGCGGCGGCAGCAGCTGCGGCTGAGGCTGCGGGCTGCAGGAACTGTCCAGACAGCGGCACGCTCAGGATGGGCGCGATGGTGGCAGTCGTCCGGCTCAGCGACAGGGGCTGGTGCGTGGCCATGAGCGCCGCGGACTGCACAGTCCCGGGCGGCCGCAGGAAGGACTGGGTGCTGCCGCCTCCCCCGCCGCCCCCGCCACCCCCGCCCGCGCTCCCGCCACCCCCGGATGAACCCCCGGGCGCCGCGGGTCCGGCGCCTATGATGTTCTCAATGCTGAACGACGGCCGCGCACTGGGCTCGGACTTGATGAGCGACGTGGTGCCCGCCGCACCCGCCGTGCCCGCAGCTGCCGCGGCGGCGCCCAGGGTGTTGAGCTGCAACTGGAGGCTCGGGCCGAGCTGCGAGCCAAAGGCGGCCGCTTTGCGGCCCAGCTCGCCCGAGGGCAGCAGGGGCACGGCGGGCGGCAACACGGGCGCCACCGGCGGCAGCGCGTACGGGTACTGAAGCGCCGCTGCGGCCGCCGCCGCCGCCGCTGCCGCGGGATGCGAGTAGGCGCCCGCCGCCGCCGCGGGGTGCAGGCCGTAGGGGCGGCCGTAGGGTCCTGCGCCCGCCGCCGCAGCCAGGCTGTAGGCACCGAAGCTCTGCATCATGAGCGCCGTCTGCTCACGCAGGTGCTCCTGCTGGTGGCGCTTGAAGCGCTTCCGGCGCCGCAGGAAGCTACCGTTGTCGAACATGTCCTCGGACTGGGGGTCCAGGGTCCAGTAGTTACCCTTGCCTGGATTGCCCGGCTCGCGGGGGATCTTGACGAAGCAGTCGTTGAGCGACAGGTTGTGGCGGATGCTGTTCTGCCAGGCGGGGAACTTCTCCCGGTAGTATGGGAAGCGGTTGCTGATGAACTCGCAGATGCCGCTCAGGGTCAGCTTCTTCTGCGGGCTCTGCAGGATGGCCATGGTGATGAGCGCGATGTAGGAGTAGGGTGGCTTCACCAGGCTGTTCTTGGGCTTGCTCGGGGTCAGACCTCCCGCTGTACCGCCACCCGCGCCGGGCCCACCGCCGCCTGCCACCGCGTCCTCGCCGCCCTTGCAGCCGTCGGCCTCAGGCGCTCCAGCGTCGTTCCCCGGTCCGGCAGCGGTCGCTTCGGTGGGCAGTGCCAGAGATTGTTGGTGGGGCGGCTGGGACTGGCCGTGATGCGCGGTCGCCGGTGGCCCCTCGTCCGCGTCGTCCAGGCGCAGCTCCGGCGGCCCCGCGGGGCTATCGCAGCCCGCGTCGCTGTCTTTCTCATCCAGCCCGTCGTCGCCCTCGCCCACCACATCGATGTCCACATCCTCGGCCGTCAGCACCGTCTGGCCGGACATATCGCTGGCGCTGCCGCCGCCGGAGAGGGTCATCCCTCCACGGGGTTGGTGGCGGCGACCGGGAGCGAGCAGAAAGCGAGGGGATCCGTGAGGGGCAGCAGCGGAGCTCAGGGAAAGAGGGTGCGGGTACCCCGCGAAAGAGAGCGGAGGGGGAGGGGAGGGCACAGGTAGCTCGGGGCCCTCCTGGGGTCAGCTCACACCCGGAGGCCCGGCATCGCGCGGTGCGGGCGTTGCGCTCCGCCGCCCGCAGCCGCGCTCCACGAACTCCCGCGGTCCCCGACGCTTCCCTACGAGGTGGCAGCTACTGCTCGCGACCCCGAAGGTTTCTCCACACCGCGCCCCCTCACTTCGCCAGTCTTCCTCGGCCTCTCTCGCTTGGGCGTGGGGCTCAGGAGCGGTCCAGGAGAGAGCGGGTACGCCGGGTGCCAAGCAGCTCCGAAGGGCGCGGATAGGGGCAACCGCGGGGGTGGGGTGGGGGTGACAGAAACGCCAAGCCCGGGTAGTCGAAAGTCCCGTTTTAAGGACTGGCCTGATAGATTACTTTCTACTTAAAGATCCAGCGGGAGGCGGGGCCACGTGACCGCGCGTGACGTCAGGGCCGCGGTGGAGCCGGCCAAACTCAAGTTGGTTCAGGGAATTGTCAACAAAGGGATAAGAGGAGCGCAACTCCTGACCGACTAGGCGCTAGCATCCCGCGGGCCCCGAGGGCTCTTCGGGCTGCCGGGAGACCCCTGCCCACGCTGGAGCCGGGCGCCGGGTCCAGGGAGGGCGTGAGTGTGAGTGGGTGGGGGTGGAGAGGGCGTGGGCCTAAGAGAGTGTCCTCCAGACCGTGGGACTCCTACCGCCCTGTCTTCTCTGCCCCCTGCCCTTTTCTTCCTTCCCTACTTTGCTAATATTATGTAGACCGACCTTCAGTGCAGGACAAGGCTTTGTTGTTTTTTTAAGAAAACTTACTATGTTGCTTTGCTTTGGGGTTTTGTTTTCGATTCAAGGATTAAGGGAACACATCCGGCTCCCTTTTGCTAATTAGGCCTCAGACCACCTCCTGTCTCAGAGCTAGTCCAGAGACCAGACACCTGCTGATGTGTTTCCCAATCACCCCCAAACCTAGCTACTCAAGCCTAATCCCAGCTTTCCTGGCTCGACGCGGGCATGTTCATATATATATATATTCTGACGGTCACAGCCCCATCAGCTGGGGTTTCCCGGGGTCAGAAAATAGCTATCGATTAACCTATTAGGATAGTTGCAGAGAAATAAAAAGGACGTAAAATAACAGGGAACCTATAAACAAAGAAGTCATAACTGGCTGTTGGAGTTGTTAAACGACTTAGCACAGAAAAAGTCGGAAATGAGCTGGAAATGGAACGGGTCTTGGCAGCGGCCTGGGTAAGTGAAGTGGGGTGGGAAGGAGGCGTTGGGCCTTGGTATTAGACGTCGCGGACGGACTGGGACAATTGGAAAATTGTGGGGAGCGGGCGTAGACTTCCTGAGCAGAAGAGGGCAGGGTATCCAGGGAACCACGGTGCTCTAGGGCATGCTGGCTGGGGTGGGTTCACCTTTGCTTCTAACTAATGTGAGTTATTTCTTCTTAAAGCATAGGCAAACCCTTCAAGACTTAACTTCTGTAGGTACCTGCGTCAAGGAAGAGGCGAGAAGGTGTCCAGCGCACATGGAGTTTCCATGACGAGGAATGTCAGCGACGGTAGGAAAGACAGGAAATTGCCAGGGGTGCTGGGGGTGGGGACTTTAAACTGACCCAGAGTCGGCGCCTAGGGCTGCTGGGGCTAGTGGACTCGGTACATCCGAGGGGAGCCAGTTCTCCAACTCCGGTGATTCTGAAAATGCCTTTTTTTTTCTCTCCCCCTGCCTTTAGGCCGCTTCTTTGTCAGGGGAGAGCAATTACCGGTTGTAGCCCTCTTGAAACACGACTAGGCTGTCCGCTGAAGGCCAGGGAGGACCTTTTTTCCCAGGGTATAAGAGATTGAGAGAGGAAATCAGGAAGAAACAATTTCTGTAGTGCTTGTAGAAAATAATGGGAGAGTTATGTACTTCTGATTCCCATGCCCTGTCCCCTCACCTAGACCCACTTTCCCGGGCATGTCAAATTAATAAAATATTTTTAATCTGTAAAACTCTTATTTTTTTAACAGGCATTTAGGACACACAGATTGGCTACTATCCCCATGACACAACTTTCCCAGCTATGCCACCTAGCCCTTCGAATATGGATGATGTTCCGGGTTGGCGCGGCTACAGGATGGGTGGGAATACTGACTATCCAGAGAAGTCTGGAATCTCCATTTTTTTTTTTTGTTGTTGTTGTTGTTGTTTGTTTCCAGTTGTTCTCGGGGTTACACCTGACCCTAAATCGCATGTCTGAGTTGATTTCTGCTGCTGCACCACTTGTGACCCGCTGGCTCATAAAAACATCTACTACGTTGACTAGACCAAGTCTTCTCGCAAAACCGACAGGAGCTGCGAGTCGGGGCTGGCTGGCTGTCACACTAGGCAAGAGGTTACAGTGGCAACTGCCCAAACAACCCAGAGAAAGGTGGGGAGGCAAAGAAAACACAATCTAAATTTATAAATTTAGGGATGCCTTTTGCCCAACTTGGATTGCCAGGCGATAGCCGCAGGCGCTCAAGGCTCCGCGCAGACCGCACCGCGGTCTTGATGGCCAGGCCTCTCGTGGAATGGTGCGTGCCTGGCTCCACGGCTGCTTTCGGTGCTCCTTTTGAGGTAGCCTCCAAATGAGCCTAATTTCGATTTCTCCGCTGGCCTGAACTGGCTCAGGAGACTTTCTCCGTGTCAGCTGTTGGCAGCCTCTCCCCCTCCGCCAAGGCCGGATCTGGGCGGTCCATTCCCGTGTGTCTCCTTGGAACCTCTCTAGGGAAGGGGGTGGTGAAGAACTCCCAGCTGCCGGTTCCATTTGTTGCGCCTTTTTCCTTCGACACAATAAAAGTCAAATTAATTGATTCATACCATTAATTACGGTACATAGCGTGAAAAGCAACGCTTCCCCTCGGTTAGAGCTCTATTGTGTTAATCTCTTGTTCAATCAGTGTTACCATCTGATGCTGGGTCCGGCCCTTACAGAAACTTTTCGACTCGATTAGCTCAATGATGAGACGCGCAGAACCTACTGGCTGCTGCCCCCCAAACCCGGAGACCGCACGGGCCTGACGACTGGCTTAATATCGATTTCCAGAGGAAGCCACGGAGATTTCCCGCGGACGCTCTGTTTGGGGACTCGGTGTGGCTTTCCTCCTGACGGTAGACATTAGTGCAAGAGAAGGCAGCTGAGCGGCAGTCCAGGTGGTAGATTGGAAGGTTCACGGGAAGCCGCGTGAAGTCTGCTGAATTTCGAGCTAAATAGTGGCGCGATTGTAGCTGCATCCCAAAACCTAGGTCCTCAGTTACCGCCAAACTTTGGGACAGAGATAGAGAAGTGAGAAGAGGAGGGGGGGGGGGGGGGGCGTGATACACATTGGGGGAGGGAGGGTGTGACCCAGCGAACAGAAACGGTGGGCAAGGATAAAACAGTCGCCAAAGATTATTGGGGGCATTGAGGGAGAAGGGACGCCCACACTAACACAGTTAAGCCTGGGAGTGAGAACTTGGGTCTGCTAGCAAACTTCCCATGAGATATTCGAAGGGGAGGTGGCAGCCAGCGGTCTCACCTGCTCAAGTGCTGGAATTGATTCTGCCTAATGAGAGTGAAGTGGACAGAAACTCCGGCTTTTCTCGGGGCTGGCAAAATAGGAAATATAACAGGGCTGGGGGAGTCAAGGAAACCGGTCCAAGGGGAGGAGGGGGGAACCAAGGTTCTGGTAACAGAGGCCAGAGTGGAGTCAGGATCGATAGGAAGGGAAATTGAGACGTCTCCAGAGGAGGGGAGATTTAGTGTGTGCGTCCTGGAAGGGGAGGATAGGGATGGAACAATTTATGACGGAGAAGGGGGAAATTAATTACAACTCAATTTGGATTCTTAAGTGGTCAACACGGGAGGAGGGGTTGGGTCAGAGAGTGCGGGAAGCAGAATGGTCCACTCAGGCCTAAGCGACCTCAGTGGCTATTTCTCCCTAAGTCAGGGAATATGGCATAGGCAGGAATGCACTTTTCTAACAATCCGGGAAGGTGAGGCCTCCTCCTGAGGAGCGAGGGCAGTTCCCCCCGCCCCCCCTCCCCCGGTAGCTACTTTCTTTAGCAGAAAAAACCATGGGTGGAACCATTTGAAAGCCAGCCCTCTTTCCGGGATCCATTACCTACCCCCAAGACGAAGTCTGTTCCTTCTGGACAATTTTCATAGACTTATTAGACCATCATCAACCTTTTTGTCTGGATGACTGCCACCAAAGAAGGTGCGAAGGGCAGAGGTGGTATCTGGGGGTCCCAACACATGCAGATTATTTCCACTGCCCACCGGGTATGGTTCAACACACTTTCACCCTCTAACACCTGTCCCCATACCTCTTAAGAGCTCTTGGGGGGGGGAGTTAATTTAACGTTCTTGTTTAGATTTAATCTCAAAACTTCATTTATTTTCAGTACCTGGTATTCACAGTCCGCGTGCTTATAAATGGCGAGAGACCAAAAGGAAAGAAGAGAGAGGGGGAGAGAGAGGATGGTTTCGAATTTATTTATATTGGAAATGTATAAACATCCATTCTGTAAAAGGCAACACGTTTAATTAACGATGAGGGAGCAGTTAGGGGCAGAAAGCTAGTAAAATTGTGTGATAAATTTATGGCATTGTTAGCGTGCTTTTAATTATGGCTATTATGTTAATTATTTCACATTAGCATGGAGTTATCAGCAGCATGTCAGATTTAATCAAAACGAGCCTTTCTCTCGAAAATTGTTCTTTTCATTCGCGAGGAGAAAGATCCTGGGCAGGAGCGGGGCTTAAAAATGATTTGGCATTGAAATCTTGAGTCTTGCCGACGCTGTTCGATGCGACACCGTGGGCCGGGCGTCCGCTGGGTCCCTCCAGGCTAAGGATAGCTGCTGGAGAAGCCGAGGGCTGGGTTTTTAGGAATTCACCATTTTCACCCCCTTCGGAGCCGACACTTCATCACGCGGGATCATTCTGTCAAACAATATGATGCTGCTCATTTTTATCTGTCCCGCTTTACAAAATCCCTATTCAGCTGGCCGAGGAGCAACAAAAGCCTCGGAGCCGCACCGCATCCGCTGGCGGCCCCAGCTCCACGGCGAGCTGGAGAAAAAAGGGAAGGGGCCGAGGCGTGTCTCATTGGTGTCCACCGCTCGGGCCCGCGGGGACGCGACAGCCCCCATTCTCCCCCCCGGGCCAGGGTGTCCAGGTATCGGGGCTCGGGTGTGACCCCGGCACGCCTGTCCCCAGCCGGTGCTGGCGCTCTGCCGTCCTGCGGGCGCGCGCAAAAGCTCCTTTCCCTGGCAGCGAGATACTCGCCCACCCAGGCCACATCGATTTCTTAATCACCGCCGATCGATTTATTGGGAGCAAATAAATAGCCCGTTTTGGAAACGTTTCAATTGTGGGTTTGTTGGTGGGGCGCTGAGACCTGGAGGGCGGGGGGCGCCGAGAGGACGCGACCACCCGTGGGCCTCGAGAGAGCGTGTGGTGACAGCGATGCACCCCGCATCTCGGGGGCCCTCCCATCTCCCCAAGGGTCCGCGTCTTCTCTTCCCCTCAGTTCCCCCTGGTGGCGGGGCATGACATCTGGACGCCCCGCCCTTCTACCCTCGCTTCCAGGCACGTGCGCATGCCTTCTGACGCCTATGAAAGTTCAGAGCATCCAAGGGCCAGATCTGAGATTCGCCAGTCTGACGGACACCCCTTTTCGGCTTCCGACAGCCGAGTAGAACCTCGGTGGTCCTCGGACCTAGGATGCGGACGCTGCACCTTCTGGCCGCTCCCTGCGCGAGACCACTCTGGCCCCCTCCTTTCCCGGGACGGGGCCGAGGACCTGCCAGCTGCTACCTTATTTTTAGCGCCATTCCATTCGCGCAGTTATATTTAACTCGATCCACTCCTCTGAGGAGGTCGCTCGGACATAGAATTCTCCACATCGCAACTCGGTCCCGCCCGCCTTGCCTTGGGGACGGTGGGGGTGTGCGTGGAAAAGCCTAGCCTAAGAATCTTTGCCATCTCTGGACCCAGCAGGAGAGAGGACGGTTCTGCAACCGTCGCTAGACCCTCCTTGCCTTGTGAGGGGGAGGGGATGAGAGGGTGTAGCAGTCCCCGGGAAGGATTCTCTGCGGGGAAGCATGCAATTCATTTCCTATTTATGTATGACCCCCAAGTACCTGAATGACCTAGAACACTTATTAGAAAACTATCCATCAAAATGTTCATGGTTTTGTGTTTATGCAGGAATTCCCTTTCCTCTCTACTTGGAAACACAAGCATCAAGGAGAAACTTAATTTCAAATGGTACCTTGGTTCCTCAGATCCAGCCCAGGCTATCCTTCCCTTGGCAAAATCTGAAAACATCATTCCTTTGGCTCGCAAATATCCTGGGGAAAATATTCACTAGGACAACATACAGAAACGCCAGTGAAGCTTATACGCTGTTCTCACGGGAGGTCCAACAGAGTTTACAAATCACAAAGCCGTGTCCTGAAGATGCGAATACACATGAGACGTGACCCAGGATGGCAAAACACACTTTTAAGTGCTCACACACTTTTTAAAAGGGACTTTTTTTTCTTGGGCCCAAATCGGATATTTCCGGCTCCCTCTCGTTGTAGCTTTCCTGTGACGTAAAAACCCTCGGAATTTGGAAGGGCGGGGTGTTTGTTTATAATTTATGCATTCAATAGTACTTAATCCGTCTGTTTTAGGCTCTGGCAAGTGCCAGTAATGGAATGAGTTCAAAGTTCGAGGAAGAGCTGGCTGCAGAATCCCTCTTCCCAGTGCAGGTAGGGAGACAGGGACAGCTCAGCAGGGTCCTGATGGAGTGGAGGATGAGAAGGGGTGAGGCTTTCCGGTTCAGGGGAGAAAGCTGGGTGAGGTTGACACACACCCTTAATCTCGGGAATTCCAGCATTCTGAAGGCTGCGGCAGGAGGGCGGGCATTTCAAGCCAACCTCGGTTGGGTAGGGGGACTTTGGTTCAGAACAAACAACAAAACCAGAAAAACTGCCAATCAAACTGCGCTCGCAGGATAGCTGCTCTCATTAGGGATATCAGTGGGATGTTAGGAAGTAGGGAACGGAAAACTGCGAATATCTTGGGGGAAGTCCTAGGTTGTGTGCCCACCAGTACTTCTGGCGAGCCCGAGGCACTCTGAGAGAGAATGAATAGTCTGTGTGGCAAAACATCAAAGAAGGATGAAAGAAGAGAAGGGGGAGGGTAAGAATGGAACTTCGGGGCTGGAGGTGGAGATGCTGCTCTTGCAGGGGACTGAAGCCAGTTCCCAGCACCGATGTGGGGCAGCACACAACCGCCCCTCACTCCACCGTAGGGAAATCAGACTCCCCTGGCCTCCTTAGGCTCCACATGTATATACCCACATACATACACACATCCACAAACACACACAATTTTTTTTAAAAAAAGATAAACCTTTTTTTTTTCCTTAAAAAAATAGAATTTTGCCTAGAGGCTGTTTCTGGGGCTATTGTGACCTTTTAGAAGGCATGAAAGGATGCTAATAAACACGTAGAAGGCATTTGAATGGGAACATATGTAAACCGGAAAGACTATCAGAAAGGTAACCGCAGGAGGGATTACTGGAAAGACCCGAGTGGTAGACCCATTGACTTTTCTTACTTTATCACATGCATACAGGCCAGACACGGGATAAAGAGCATGAGTGAGACCAAGCAGCAGCATCAACACGCTAACGATGCTAACTACACAAGGGGAGCTTTGTCCCCGCCCCGCCCCCACGCCCTTGCGTCCCAGCCAAGCACCTGAAAGCCTAGGGCTCAAATAACGGTTGAACGAACAGAGG